CCCCCAACCAACAAAATGGACAGAGCAATATCGACCGACTCCTCATTTCCGGCACCACAGATTTCGAGGTACAGATAAAAAAGACTTCACAATACCACGAGGCAAATCTGAATAGTATGAATAGTCATTGTGTTTTAATAAGAGTTTTACGGTCTTTGCAACACAGTTAGGTCATGTAAGTGCCGAGGATTAGAGGTGCTAAAAGAGAATAACAAACACAAAGTAGCAGAAGAAGAGATAAGAACGATAGATATTTGATAGGAAAGAAGGAGTAAATCACATCAGAGCACCCGCCAACCACCCACTTGAATAATCAGAAGCATCTGATTTTATTTGGCTTTTTGAATGCAGCCACGTTCCACGTCGAGTATAGAATAACATACGACGTGCATCCATACCTCTTTCAAGACATACAGACATTAGTCTGTGTCACGACCTGGTGAAATCAGACGCTCGTCAATTTTTGGGCATATAGAAGTATTGGTGTAATCTTAAAGCCTATTTACTTTCTTGCTTTTGGTGAAAAAAAACTCATTTATCTTAGGCAGAAATCGAGGTATTTGCGATTGCAGGAGTTAAGGGTCGCCTGGTGTCAAAGTGTGTAGCAAGAAAATGGCCACACAAGTTTGGTTACTTCCAAAGCTGTAGTATCCTTGAAAGATACAAATGTATATATTTGGTGCCTTTGATCAACATTTTACGGTAAAATCCATGCCAGAATGTGTTTTTGAATAGGCAGAAATGGATTTGAGCACGAAACCCAAAGCAAAGTTGATAAAAACGCCCAACGGGCGGGGAAAAAAGTCGGTTCCTTCTATTCTTTATTTTGACGAGGGCCTGATTTTAATTCGACTTTGTTTACTTACATCTCACTCCTCTTCTTCATAGCTTTCTCATCACATCATCAGCCTACTGGTGATTACCTCTGCTAATGTTTTCACCCACCCACTTTTATTGTCCGCCTACAAAGTGTTGGCAAACACCAACTCCCCCCTAATGCCTTAGTCTCTGTCTCTGTCTGTTTCTCTGTCCGTCTGTCTGTCTGTCTGTCTGTCTGTCTGTCTGTCTGTCTGTCTGTCTGTGTCTGGTTGTCTGTCTCTGTCTCTGTCTCTTTCTTTCTTTTTCTATTTCTCTCTCA